TTTGTAATTTTTATTTTGTCGCTGATTTTGCACAATGGTGACAATAAAACGAAATGTATCAGACAAGGAAGACCGAATGCCATGTTAAAACAAACACATGGGTCGCCACCACTCAGAGAACGAGGGACGCTTCTGTAGCAAGTTCATGTTGACGTCCTTTGTTACTTTGTTACAGACTGGGTAAACAGTAACCACTCATCTCACTTACGATTTGTGTATGAGTTCTGGGCGGGGCTTATGGGTTATGAGGGATCACACGCTAACTCACCTGCAGCTGAAAATTGGTAGCTATTGGTCAACAGTGGGAGGGGCCTACGCAACATGATCGGTTGGAGGGACTACCTAACAACAACGACAGGTGATTGAATTATGATGTAATTATGACGGCTCGCCCACAACGCCAGGGGCTAATGCACAATTTATGACAAAACGTAATGGATTCACTAAGGTGACCGTCTTAGACAGGTATTATTGCTTAGTATTATAGGGGTTGTGTGTTAAATTTTTGTGGCCGCGGCCGCGTTGGACAGGTGCCCGTTTTACACAGTTAAACTATATATAGAAAAAACGCAAGGGGGGAAATGGAAAGTGGCCGTTTGTACAGGTGGCCGTCTTATAGAGGTGGCCGTCAGGGCAGGTTCGACTGTATATAGTAGTAAGGGTCGGCAGTCGGAATGGACGTCATGCTGGACTCAATTCAGAGTCTGAATATAATTTTCGCAGTGGCTATTTTTACGGCGAGCCGTAAAGATAGCCTCCCAGGCTATTTTTACGGCGTGCCGTAAAGATAGCCTCCCAGTGAGTCCCAGGCTATTTTTACGGCGATCCTCGAAAAGCGACCCTACTCCGCCTCTCACGTACGCGACATGCCTCAATGTATTAGATCTAGGCCTATAGTAGGAGCCGTTCAAAATATAAACTTACACCTCAGAGGGGAAAGGGTGTCTTTGGCTTCTGTAAGAAAAGTGTAAGATTGGGTGGGGAGGTTAACCAAATATGACACTTCTGTGAGAATTTTCATGCAATTTTGTTAGAGAGTAGAGAAGCCTTCGGTTTTTAAAAATAATTGTTTGTTTTGCATGTTGGTGCTGTTTCCATTCCATGGCAACTTTCATATTTTCGGACTTATCAAAATTTACTTTCTTCATTATTTCTTATGCCCATATAATTTTTTTTCCTAAATATGAATCGGAAAAAGAATCACCCATGGGGTGAGCTGTTCCCCGTAAAAATGGACAGTAATAATATGAGCACATCAGAAAACAAAAAACAAAAACTTAAAAAATGCAATCTATTTTATTATTTGAAAGAATCCCACAACATCAAGGTCCTAGTAAAAAACATAAAAACATTGAATTGTTTAAAAGTCCAGAATAAAGACTATAATTATGAAGCCAAAGACACCCTTTCCCCTCTGACTCTGAGGTGTAAGTTTATATTTTGAACGGTCCCTACTATAGGCCTAGACATCTAATACATTGAGGCATGTCGCGTACATGAGAGGCGGAGTAGATCTAGGGTCGCTTTTCGAGGATCGCCGTAAAAATAGCCTGGGACTCACTGCGAGGCTATCTTTACGGCACGTATTAGATTGGCGCATTTTCGGTAGTTCCCACCCCGCAATTAGGCCACCTCTATTCTCACCCGGGATGAGAATAGTGCAGGCTAGTCTTTTGGCTATTCTCACCCGGTGCGCGTTCACTGTTATAGCCTAGATCTAGGCCAACAAATTTTGCGTTCACCCTAAACCACAGAATTCTACACAGTGATAACAGAAAAATTGTAGAATTCTGTGCCGTGAACAAACGTTCCATTACAACTGTTGTAGCCTACTAAAAGCGTAAATTTTGTATGTGGGCAGTGGAGAGAGAGAGAGAGAAAGAGACAGAGAGAGGAGTAGCGTGAGAACTTCCGGTCAAAACAAAATGGCGACCCGCGTAGTTCTGCTCGATTCGAAAAGTTAAATAGCCGTAGCATCTTTGTAGACAACCAAATTAATTTACTTTTGTGTTTTAACATCATTTTTAAACTTTGTTTTGGTCAATTTGATCGTCCACACCGATAGACAGTATTCAGAATGAGACAGAGAGAGAGAGAGAGGGAAGGAGTAGATCTTGCGAGAACTTCCTGGCAAAACAAAATGGCAACCCGCGTAGTTCGGCTCGATTCGAACAGTGAAATAGCCATAGTATAGCATCTTTGAAGACGATCAAATTAGCTTACTTTTGTGCTATAACGTAATTTTTTCTTGGCTTTTATCAATTTGATCATCCACACCGATAGACAGTATTCCAAAATGAGGAAAAGCAGGTCTTGTTTCGCACCGGGTGAGAATAGCCTACGCTGGCAAGTCTCACCCGGGGTGAGAGGTAGATCATTTTTCTATTCTCACCCCGGATGAGAATATAGCCACTTCCCCGCAATTATTATTTATTTGCGGGTTTTGGCCCCAAGAGTAGGGGGTTTTCACCCAGGTGGGGGGTTTCAGGGTGGTAGATCTAGATCTAGATCTAGATCTAATATCTAGATTCTAGACTAGAGTGTAGATCTAGAATCTGGACTTTACGTTTTATTAGCATCGACCGAAATTTGAAGTTAGAGACATGTCAGATTCGCTAGCCACAATTGCCAGGGCACTGTTATTCCATCATATACTTACAGTACAGAAGTAGATCTACAGTCAGTACCGTCAGCTTTTACTCAAAAGCCCTTTGGTGATAATTTCCAAACATTTATTAACATCCTTGTGTGAGAGGAACAGATTCATTGCACTGCCACTAAGAATGTTTCCAATTCCATCCAATGTTTATGACTGACCAGTCCTGAGTCCACTTCCGGGGTTAAGGGAGGGGAGGCTACACGACTACACCCCCAAAGTCCCGATTCGAATTTGAGTTGTTTGTAATTTGCCGTAACATCTAAACTAACAATTTGCGACGTTTTTCAATGCCAAAACCGTGTTCAGGGCCCTAAAAAACTAAGAAAAAAGCTACAAAATAATACCCTTTATTAGACGGGAGGGTTTCTATAAATTTACCGAGTTGTAGATCTAGATTAGATCTAGCCTAGATCTAGATTTCTAGATAGGCATTGGTACTATCCTAGGCTACTTGGATATGCGGTGGTCCCAACTTTAGCTTCCCATGGCAAAAGAACCCCCAAAAACCTTATATTTATTCCCATACCGAACATGTTTATCCCCACCATTTCCTCAAAGTCAATTTAATTTTCTTTATCTGCCTTTTTCTCAAAACATGATTTTTCTTTAGGCCCTAGATCTAGATCTAGATCTATATACTTTTTTAAATAGAGAGAGAGAGAGAAAGAGAGAGAGAGAGAGATAGATAGATAGATAGAGAGAGAGAGAGAGAGAGAGAGAGAGAGAGAGAGAGAGAGAGAGAGAGAGAGAGAGAGAGAGAGAGAGAGAGAATAAAAACTTATCGGAGAAATGTCATAAAAGTCTTTTGGTCACACTCACACATACAGCCAGTTGACATATGCAATACTTATGCACTGTTGCCGACTATCGCCGACCGTTGCCAACTGTTGATGTAACAGGGATGGTGGGACAAGAGAAAAAGACCTGTTAGTGTTATCCGATCCCTGTTAAATCAGAAATAGGGCCTACTATGGAAGTAAGCATTTGTGGACTAATCCAGCAGTATTTATTCATGGGTAGTTTCCCTTGCAACAAGTTTCCACAAACAGCTCTCTGCACAAACAGGGGTTTTGGCAGAGAGTATTTAATTATATTGGCCATGTGGCAGGCCTGCGCATGTCACATTACGCGTGCGTGTAGCTAGGCTTAGGGCTAGATTTTAGATCTAGATCGAAGTCTGCAGCAAACGGCAGCCTTCTCTCGCTTCATCCGCTGCGCGTGCTGGTAGTGGCGTGGTGGGCTTGCTCCATCACTGCGTTACTTTCTCTCTCTCTCTCTTACTTTTTATACATTGTTAAAGAGCCTTTGTCCCTGCTATAACCGATAGGGCTCCGATGAGGCCCTGTTGTTATTGCGGATAAATTTTAACTGAGACAAAGAGTAGGAAAAGACGGGGATTTAAAAAATCCCTGTTATTACCGGATCCCAGTTATTACCGGGCCTGTTATATATGGTTTCCTCCACTGAATGTTGTCTGGGCCAGGTGGCTCGCCTGTTTTCATTTTGAAGACAGTGGACATTAGCTTAGTGATTGCGAAGTCGGGCTGAGCCGCTCTCGATCTCCTGAGGATTTTCTGAGATCCCTTAGTCGCTGTTTTTGTAGTAAGAAGTAGTATTAAAGGGGGGGGGGGGGGGGGAGGATCCTG